AGTATTTGTAGAGAGAATTTTAAAAACTTCATAAGTAATATATTGCAATAAACATCTAGAAAATATATTGGTGGTCCCTCCACCGGTCGCCGTCTAAACCAAGTCCCTTGAGATCGGCTTTAACGTAATCCTCCCAACTTCGCTTCGGTCTAACGCTAGGACGTTTACCAGTTGTCACAGCAAATATTAATTTCTTTGGAATTCTTTCGTAACTAATTCCTACAATTTTACATGGCCGTTTAATTCGCCGCGATGTAATCATTTTAATTATATCAACCGGATACAATTCAAGCAACTCATCCTTCTTCGGTACGAATATTCTACGGAATACTTGTAATGTGAAATATATCTAAAATTAAAAAGAATACAACTTCTGAAATATTGAAACACTTTTTTGTTTTAGTATTTGTAAAGAGAATTTTAAAAACTTCATAAGTAATATATTGCAATAAACATCTAGAAAATATATTGGTGGTCCGTCTGGTAGGCGAGAGTTCAAGATCACTTCGATCACACTTGCAAATATTAATTTCTGTGGAATTCTTTCGTAACTAATTCCTACAATTTTACATGCCCGTTTAATTCGCCGCGATGTAATCATTTTAATTATATCAACCGGATACAATTCAAGCAACTCATCCTTCTTCGGTACGAATATTCTACGGAATACTTGTAATGTGAAATATACCTAAAATTAAAAAGAATACAACTTCTGAAATATTGAAACACTTTTTTGTTTTAGTATTTGTAGAGAGAATTTTAAAAACTTCATAAGTAATATATTGCAATAAACATCTAGAAAATATATTGGTGGTCCGTCTGGTAGGCGAGAGTTCAAGATCACTTCGATCACACTTGCCGAAGTTAGCCGAGTTTGTCCGGAGGCGACCGAACAAGAAAATTCTTATTTCTAATGATTCATATATGCATAATTTTCGCTTATCTTCACTTCTTCCTACTTATAAGTTTAACAGCTGAACTGAATTATAAATTACGTTCTGATTATAATTTCTGTCAATGATTGAATATAAAAATAATTATTATTGTATTCGGTGGTGGGTAACTAAGATGTTATCTGATCATTGGTTCCTTGTATGTAGATTTATAATTGTGGATTGATGGTGGGGACTGTAGTGAATAATTGAATAGAAAAATAGTTCATGCAATCAGTAAAAAAAAAATTAAAAATAAATAAGTATATTTATTTATTATTTGTTAAATTGATTTTATTTATAATTTAATTTTAAATTAAATAAATTATAAATATTTATTTAAATTAATTCCATTTAATTCATTTTTCTTAATTTATAATCTGAAGAGAAGAATAGTTGGGATGACCAATCAAAAAATAAAATTATAAAAAAATAAGCAAGGAGATGGTCCGGGGTGGCGGTCATAAATAGGCTAAATAGTGGTACAACTATTTTACTCAAAGCCAACGTTTCAAACCGACTTTGCAGGTCTTTTTCAGGGAGGTGTGTTCAGCTAGGAGTTTCACTTAGAGCTCAACTTAAGAGTTCATTAGAGAAGTTTTACTTAGATTTCTAATTGAAACTCCTAGCTGAACACACCTCCCTGAAGAAGACCTGCAAAGTAGGGTCGAAACGTATGCTTTTAATGAAATAGTTTTGCCACTATTTAGCCTGTTTATGACTGCCACCTCTTGCATCTCCTTCCTTTATAATGCAACGGTTAACTATTAAATATCCAAAAATAAATAAGTATATTTATTTAGCATTATTTTTTATGTATTTTATTTTTAAATTAATTAAAACTAATCACTGCTACTTAAGCTGACGATACAACAATTTTAACAAAACACCATGACCCCAGACTAGCCTCACTAAATTTACAAAATCACTTACTAAAGCTCATATTACTTATGAAAGCCTGTTGTAATCTTTCGGGTGAGCTCGGTAGCGATCGTATTTCTTCGGTTCCTGCATCACAATTATTATCCGTTACGATCTATTATTTTTCTTTTCACCACGAATGGCTGTCTACACAGTTCCCTCCACCGGTCGCCGTTCAAACCAAGTCTCTTGAGATCGGCTTTAACGTAATCCTCCCAACTTCGCTTCGGTCTACCGCTAGGACGTTTACCACTAGTCACAGCAAATATTAATCTTTTTTGAATTCTTTCGTTACTAATTCCTACAATTTTACAAGCCCATTTAATTCGCCGCGATGTAATCACTTCAGTTGTATCAACCGGATAAAATTCAAGCAACTCATCCTTCTTCGGTACGAATATTCTATGCAATACTTTATTAATATATACCTTATTATGAAATATACCTTAGTAAAATATTAATTTATTTAAACAAGGAAAAAAGAAAAGAAGCTACGCCTAAGATTGTAGAATAATTAAGTCTCGATGGTAATTAGCTTAAATAATGTCATCAAGATCAAAGAGGAAATAGGGGGGAATAGGTAACGACGTTCTTGAGGACCATTAAGGGCTCGACGACCGGAAACCATCAACATCGCCGCGTCATCTACAGCTCTCTCTGAGCGATGTCCTCAGCAACTAGTCGGGCATAGATCATTCCTTAGTCTGTCCAACGATTACCGCTAATTTAAGATAATATATTTGTTATTTCTTAAAGTTTACTTTTATTAAAATTTTACTAAATTAATTATTTGAGACACTTTATTCGCAAAGTGAATCCTAATCATTATTATTTTTTTTTTTTAACTCGAAAAACTGTATCTTCTATTCCAATTGTTATATCAAAACTAATATTTAAACAAAAAATAAATTAAGATTTTTTTATATAGCCCATATTTCCAAAAATTAAAATTGGAAATCATTTAAACTTAAAAATACAGGTTTTGGAATGATTTAAATTTTAAGGCCCATTTAGGAACAAATAATATGGTATTGCAGTACGGTTAGGTGAGAAAAAAAATCTGGTGCACGCAAAACAAAAATTTAAAAGTTAACATTCAGAAAGAAAATTTCATATGATTTCCTTGGAAACATGTGATTTACGGTAAATAATGTTAGTTTTCAGAAATTATTATTTATATTTTTTTCACCACTCTCCGTTACCTTCAACAAATTTATTTATTAGATATTATTTTTTCTAAAATTCTCCGCATTCCAACGATACATTATACGTATATCTTCTGACTATTATTTCCGAAGATTCGTTTTCGACCACGGTAAACATTTTTCTTTTTTTCTCCTTTATTCGATTATCAAATCCTTTCAAAAGTTATATTAAGCCTTTTTTTCTAACTCCTAATAATGAGAGATATCTTATTATTTAAAATAAACCAAATTTAATGTATTTTAGAGGAAGACATTTTGAACGTTGAGCATTTGAGCCCTGTAAAGTGACATAGATAGGGATAACACCTAAATTATATTAAAAATGACTAAATTATATTTATAGGACGGAGTTTAATTAAAATCGTTTGAGCCATTTTCGAGAAAATTGTAAAAATGTGTTAAATCGATGTTATAAAGTGCCACTTCTGGTTTTCCGATTTTGACGAAAAAGTTGCTGTAATATTCCAGGCATATAGGTGTTCATGAGTATGCGGTACTTCATTTGATTGCCAAAGTTCACTGATTTGTAACTTGAAAAGTCTCTCGAAAATTTCCTTTGATTGATCATCTAGATTCGATTCTACAAAAATAATCGCTACATTTTAGCATAACATTTAAACAATCTTTCATTTTATTTATGTTGACAATAGGAAAACACTAAGGTGTGTGCTTTTGCCAATACGATAGAACTGAAAACATCAACAGGTCGAGAAAATAGCATGAAATATAAATTATAAATGATAGATCATTATAAAGAGGTTGAAATATTGAACAATTTCCTCGCTTACAGTATATAGGATTTATTTTTAGTTTTAGAGATATTTTAATCCATATCTTCAAGAAAACTCGTTACCGTTTGGTTTTCGACTCATTTTTTTCCCTTTTCTCCTCTCTAAACCGGTGTCGTGTTAAGATAAAATTTTAATTAATAGCTCATTAAAAAGAGAATAAAATGATAAACATTTCCTTTTCGAACATTATCCAGGTTCGATTTTTAGTTTTTGAGATATTTTAATCCATATCTTCAAGAAAACTCGTTATCATTTGGTTTTCGACTATATTTTTTCCCCCTTTCTTCTCTCTAGCACGGTGACGTGTTAAGATAAAATTTTAATTAATAGCTCATTAAAAAGAGAATAAAATGTTAAACATTTCCTTTTCGAACATTATTCAGGTTCGATTTTTAGTTCTTGAGATATTTTAATCCATATCTTCAAGAAAACTCGTTACCATTTGGTTTTCACTACTATTTTTTCTCTTTTCTCCTCTCTAAAACGGTGTCGTGTTAAGATAAAATTTTTATTAATAGCTCATTAAAAAGAGTATAAGATGATAAACATTTCCTTTTCGAACATTATCCAGGTTCGATTTTTAGTTTTTGAGATATTTTAATCCATATCTTCAAGAAAACTCGTAATCATTTGGTTTTTGAATCTATTTTTTTCCCTTTTCTTCTCTCCAGCACGGTGTCGTGTTAAGATAAAATTTTGTTAAGATAAAAATAGCTTATTAAAAAGAGGATGAAATGATAAATATTTCCTTGATAACAGCCTACTTTAATCGAGCGTTACATATCGGAGATCTGACGGCTCAATCTAATACACTCTCCACAAAATGCGCCTATAAAAGTTTTCACTTCAAAACAAAAAGTTTTAAAACATGTTAATCATTCAAACTCATCTCCAATATAATAACATAACCTAGAACCATCTCAAAGCTAACAACTTCGCTGCTTATTGTAAGCGATCGTCAAGAGTATAGATGTATAGATTGCCGATAGGTGAAAACGAAATAGTACCTTATAAGTTTACAAAATGACAAAGACAGCAACTGTTTTAATAGATTCTATATTTCATATGAAAACTTTCAAATATTTATATTTAATATTTAATTATATGAAATATTCTCTGTTATTCTCCATTTTTTAATAAAGAATACTGACCTGGTAAAAACGAGGCATAACAAAGTGGCTGATAGTATCATGAGCTGCTGTGAGAGGGCGGACTGAGACTTCTGCATCGCTCTGTGGAGGTCGTTCTGGAACAGATCAATCAAAGTTAATCCAACAACAAGTTGGCATATTTCATTCCTCTTTGTTTCTTTATTTGTTCCACTTTGGAGAAATCTCTTTTATAGGTAATATAAATGATAAATACATATTGTAAGAGAAACAAAGATGGAAAAGTGATGTAAATGTTTAAGCTATGCTCACGTTAAGAAATCGAATAGAATTTTAAAAACAATTAAACTCTGACTTCATCCGGAGTTTTGGCTGTTAAAAAAATTGTAATTTGTTTCCAAGTTTAATTTATCGAATTAGCATGGTAAAAAAAAATTGAGACAAGCCAAAAGTCATTAATTCAGTTAGTTTTTACGGTACTGACTAAATCCACAACAATCATTTAAACCAATTTAGAGAAGGTGTAGAGGTGTGAGAAATAATTAAGAAAACCAATTAATTTAAACGAATTAATAAAATATGTAAACTAAAATCAATTAAGAAAAGTCGATTAGAGGGCTAAGTTAAGGGCTAGAAATAGGTAAGCAAGTAGTTTACAACGCCCTTTATCCCTAATATTGAAATTTTAGTTTATATTAAAAGATAATTGTATATAGGAACATATTCCAGAATTTTATCATTTATTCAGGTACATCCTTCCATTCTTACATGGAGATTTAATCATATTTCCCGCTGCATTTTCGAAGCATCGAAGAGTTTAGAGTTCATCTTTATGCCTCAATCCTTTAAATAAAAATATGTAATATATTCAATTGGCTTTTGGAATCAATGGATGAAAACTTAGAGCTGTTATATCTCAATTTACTTTATATATTTTATACAGTTTATTTTCTCTCTATATTGGCAAGTTCCTAAAATCAGCAGTGAGCTTAGGAATTATAGCTATTTTTTTATATTTCTTTTATTTTTCATTTGTATAGTAACTGTTCGGTTTAGAGTCAATATATAACTAACCGTTATATTTGGTCCTTAGCTTCAAATAAAAGAAATTTTAGTAGTCTGTATTTGAAATGAACTATTATTTCAACACAAACTTTACAAAGAGATTTTAGAATTTTAGACTGAATAACTTTTGACCAACAAAAAAAAAAAAAAAAAAAAAAAAAAATGGCGAGAGTTTTAATTATGTGTAAAAATTCAACATAATTATTGTGGAACGAACTGATATAATACTGAATATTTAAAATTGATTTATTTATACTAGTAGGAACGTGCGAAAAATTGGCACAGCATATTGTTATCAAATGCCAGATTAATAATAAAATAAAATAATGCAACCTATCAAAAGATAAAGAAATCAAATGTTACTGTATGTATAAATATAATCGACAAAAAAAAAATTAATTTAAATCTTCATTTTTGTTTGGAACCAACATGTTTACAAATTTCAATAAGCTGTATCTTTGCTAAAAATTGTCCGATTTCGATGATTTTTTTTTCATTGTGTAGGAAATTTAATTAATGTTTTATATAATCACGGGCATAACCGAGGGAAAAGTGTGTGATTTTTTAGGTTATTCGCAAATAAAGTTTGTTTTCTTTTATAACTTTTTGCCTGAATTTTCGGTTTGATTGGACTATTTTGTCCGCCTGAAGGAGAAGGAAGCCTTCGAAATCGGTGGCTCAATCTTGAGCTTTGGTGAAAAATTGACGATGATATGGCTTGCCGATCAAAAACAACATCGCTAAATAATATAAACTCCTCCTCTCTCGATCATAGAGGCCTCAAGTCGACGAAATGTGACATGTATTCAACGACAGTACTACAATTAATGTAAGGTTGTGTGGATGCGAACCCTATGGCTTGCGTTATCTCGAAAATAGTACGTTTTTCCGGAAGAACTATCCGGGTTTTGCTGTACGCATCAAAATCTTCTAGATCCAATTTGTCCCGCATCGATCTACAGACCTACCACTGTTCAGGTATTGAAGCCTAGCAAAATGTTTGTATCGACTTTATTTATTTTAGAAAGAAAAACAAAAGTGGAGAATACGATTCGCTAACCCCTCGTGAAATTCTAAATCCAACGGTACCCCTTTCATGGTATTTGAGCATGACAGGAGCTTATATTGGTACAAAACCGATTTCGAGCCTTACTGTAATAATATATGTGGAGATGTTTGTATGGTTGTGAGGATTTTTATTTATTTTTTGTTTTACATACTATATATACACAGGAGGGAGGGGAGACAGCCTTCAAAACTTTGGTACATTTCAAAAACTTTTTAAGCTAAAAATGAATAATTTCTTAGTGTTATACAACCTCAAATAAAAATCCATCGTTTTTCAAAATCCGAATAGTTTGACGCGGAAAATGTGATAACAATATCACGTGAAAATTGAGTGGTGATTAAATCATGCAATATTGGGATATGTTCATATATATTGTTATCTTTGAATATAAATGAAAATTTAAATAAAAGTAACATTTAGGTATCGATATAATAGTTACATACCTACTACTTTGACTGTAACCTAGTCGACTTTTCTGAATCGATTTTAACTTATACATTTTATTCTCTCATCTAGCTTATATATTATTGATTTTATTTTTTTTAGCTCAAATTATGGGGGGAGGGGGGTCAAATGATATTTTAGCCCTTTCAACATTTTTATTAGGAGGAGGGGCGGAAGCCCCCTCCCGATTCTTTGCCTCTGGGGCATATATTATATTTTTGACTAGCTGATGTTCCTGTCGTTGACGGGTGTATAGTTAAAATTTGGGAACATTTTTTTGAGATGGATTTTGTATTATGGAGAGGAGGGTCCAAATTCAATTTCATAAAATTGGGTCGGCAGTGGGGAGGGGGGTTGTTTTGAATTTTTTTATGGTGGGGCTTATGGATGTCAAGGTTTCGCAATAGTCAAAACAAAAACTTTGTTATTCGGCTATTTGTTTAGGTATCACACATCTAAACCGACCACCACCGATCCATTAAAATTTGTCAAGGAGATTGTGGAGTCGATTAATTGATCAAAAAGAGTTGCTGAGTTTATCGCTGGCAAAATAAGATTGGACATTGAGTCACGTATTTTCCTGTTAAATTAGAACTTGATCTGAATATTGTGGCGGGCGGGATGAAATATTTGGAAATTTTTTTTGTTGATTTCAGGCTAGTCCGTTTGGTTAATCCTAAAAATGTATAAGACAATATTTGTTAGGCTCGGGAAGTTGAATAGAATGACACCTTGAACGGAAAGAACAAAGTTGAAAAATGAGTGTTTTAATCGTTTTATGTTATCCCGTTGAGTTTTGATAATTTTTTTCTATTAGTTGTATAGTACAACTTTTAAATGTGGCTCGCGATAGAGTAGATTGGAATGGGAATCGAAGTAAATAACTGCCTAACCGGGATCTCTAGACAAATTACTCAAGAATTCATAACTTTGGTTTTAATCAATATTTTGTTTTTAATTAAAGCATATATTTTAAGTCAAGGAAACCTAAATATAAGATCAAAATTTCAAAAGTCTACCATTAGTCATTGCCGAGCTTACCCCTGACAAAATTTCGTTGGACAATGCAACCAGACAAACAAAAAATCTTTTAAAAGTGGATTTGGTATCTGTAATGTATGGAACGGAAAGATATCATGAAACGGGATGATTCTATTCAATGTACAGACAAAACATTTATTTCATTTATATAGATCAATAACTTGACGGGCGCAATTATATTTTTGATAGACAAAAAAAAATATATACAGATGATCTTTAACCTATAAACATATGTTTATTATTAACATTTATTATCAACATTAACCGGGATCTCTAGACAAATTACTCAAGAATTCATAAAGGGGACCCTACACGGTCAATCGGAATTGCACTAATGACGTTCCGAATTGTCGTGTAAGGTAGTGAATGAAGTACTGATGGTGGTGCACTGCGGATTTCCGAGCATCCGGAAATCAAAAGTTCATTCACGAGAAGTGATAGGTTAGGTTAGGTTTTCTATGAGACTAACCTTACTACTAGATAGGTTAGTTTACCTGTGTCTCGTTATTAAGTAAATAATTTCATAAAAGTAAATAGTTGTTTATATTATTATGTTATTATTAACCTAGTCTATGTTATTATTAACCATTTTCAACTATTTTTTCTTTAAAAAGTCAAGTAGACAATAAATTGGAGAGAAAAAAAAGTGGAAACTTAAGTAATGATCAGTAATGATTGAACGTGTAAGGGTCTTCATGATCAAAGCGATAGCGGGCAATCTTGGAACTTCTTGTGACGTTCATTCATGAATTACCGTGTAGGGTCCGCTTAACTTTAGTTCTACTCAATATTTTGTTTTCATTTAAAGCCTATGTTTTAAGTCAAGAAAACCTAAATATAAGAGCAAAAGTCTACCATTAGTGATTGCCGAGCTTACCGCTGACAAAATTTCGTTGGACAATGCATCCAGACAGACGAAAAATCTTTTAAAAGTGGATTTGATATCTATAATGCATGGAACGGAAAGAAATCATGAAACGGGATGATTCCATTCAATGTACAGACAAAACCTTTATTTAATTTATATAGATCAATAAGTTGACAGACGCAATTATATTTTTGATAGACAAAAAAAAAAATTATATAGATGATCTTTAACCTATAAACATATGTTTATCATTAACATTTATTATCAACATTAACCGAGATCTCAAGAAAAATTACTCAAGAATTCATAAATTTATTTCTCCTCAATATTTTGTTTTTATTTAAAGCCTATATTTTAAGTCCAAAACACCTAAATATAAGATCAAGATTTCAAATGTCTACGATAAGCCATTGCTGAGCTTACCACTGACAAAGTCTCGTTGCAATGCGGACATACAGACAGACAAAAATTTTTTTAAAAGTAGATTTGGTATCTGTAATGTATGGAACGGAAAGATATCATGAAACGGGATGATTCTATTAAATGTATGGACAAAACCTTTATTTCATTTATATAAATCAATAAGTTGACAGGGGCAATTATATTTTTGATACAAAAAAAAAAAAAAAAAAAAAAAATATATATATATATATATATATATATATATATATATATATATATATATATATATATATATAGATGATCTTTAACCTATAAACATATGTTTATAATTAGCATTTATTATGAACATTAACCGAGATCTCTAGAAACATTACTCAAGAATTCATAACTTTGGTTCTACTGAATATTTTGTTTTTATTTAAAGCCTATATTTTAAGTCAAGAAAACCTAAATATAAGATCAAAATTTCAAAAGTCTACCATTAGTCATTGCCTAGCTTACCCTGACAAAATTTCGTTGGACAATGCATCCAGACAGACAAAAAATATCTTAAAAGTGGATTTGATATCTGTAATGTATGGAACAGAAAGATATCATGAAACGGGATGATTCTATTCAATGTACAGACAAAACCTTTATTTCATTTATATAGATCAATAAGTTGACAGACGCAATTATATTTTTGATAGACAAAAAAAAATATATAGATGATCTTTAACCTATAAAAATACGTTTATTATTAACATTTATTATCAACATTAACCGAGATCTCAAGACAAATTACTCAAGAATTCATAGCTTTATTTCTCCTCAATATTTTATTTTTATTTAAAGCCTATATTTTAAGTCCAAAACACCTATATATAAGATCAAGATTTCAAATGTCTACAATAAGCCATTGCTGAGCTTGCCACTGGACAAAGTTTCGTTGCAATGCGGACATACAGACAGACAAAAATTTTTTTTAAAGGAGATTTGGTGTCTGCAATGTATGAAACGGAAAGATGGAATAAAACAGGATGATTCTATTCAATGTATAGACAAAACCTTTATTTCATTTATATAGATCAATAAGTTGAAAGACGCAATATTATTTTTGATAGACAAAAAAAATATATATAGATGATCTTTGACCTATAAAAATATGTTTATTAACATTTATTATCAACATTAACCGAGATCTCAAGACAAATTACTCAAGAATTCATAACTCTGGTTCTACTCAATATTTTGTTTTTATTTAAAGCCTATATTTTAAGTCCAAAACACCTAAATATAAGATCAAGATTTCAAATGTCTACGATAAGCCATTGCTGAGCTCACCACTGACAAAGTCTCGTTGCAATGCGGACATACAGACAGACAAAAATTTTTTTAAAAGTAGATTTGGTGTCTGCAATGTATGAAACGGAAAGATGGAATAAAACAGGATGATTCTATTCAATGAATAGACAAAACCTTTATTTCATTTATATAGATCAATAAGTTGACAGACGCAATATTACTTTTGATAGACAAAAAAAAATATATATATAGATGATCTTTGACCTATAAAAATATGTTTATTAACATTTATTATCAACATTAACCGAGATCTCTAGACAAATTACTCTAGAATTCATAACTTTGGTTCTACTCAATATTTTATTTTCATTTAAAGCATATGTTTTAAGTCAAGCAAACCTAAATATAATGTCAAGATTTCTAAAGTCTACAATAAGCCATTGCTGAGCTTATCCCTGACAAAAATTCGTTGAAATGCGGACATACAGACAGACAAACATTTTTTAAAAAATGGATTTGGTTTCTGCAATGTATGAAACGGAAAGATGGCATAAAACGGGTTGATTCTATCCAATGTACAGACAAATTCTTTATTTTATTTGTATATATATATATATATTATCTAACCACTCTTTTTAGCTGTCTTATATTTATTCGGTTTATTACAAAAAACAAACTTATTTGTTCATTTCGACCATATTTATCGATTAAAAACTACATATAAAAAACAGTGACACTAACTACACAATATTTTGAATTCTCTGAAAATTAAATTCATTCAATTTCGTTTACAAGAATGTTATTTATGTCGCTGATTTAGCTCGAGCCAGATGTATATCCTTTCACGATAAACTTCAGTCCCATCAAACACACTTGTTACCAACCTTGGTTCTTCCTCGATTTCTGATAATCCCTCTAGGCGTCTGAAAATAAGATGGTCTCGTGATCATCTTACCTAGAACTATTAGCGAGTGCTTCGTTGGGTAGTTTCTCCACAAGTCTATCTTTGTCATTATTCCTCTATTTGCTCATATTTTCTATTTTTATTTATTTAATACAGTTATATATTTTAAAAAAAATTACTTAATTTTTTTATGTACTCTCGATTTATAGATTTTTTTTATTTTAGTTAATCTGATTGCAAATAATAATTTGTAGAAGTCAATTTTAAGAATGTCAAAATATTTGTATAAATATATTAGTTTGAAGTTAAATTAATCTTGTATTATTGTTTCAAAAGTCTTAATATAATACCAAGATTTCAAAAGTCTACAATAAGCCATTGCTGAGCTTACCCCGGAAAAAAATTCGTTGCAATGTGTGGACAGACAGACAAACATTTGTTTAAAAGTGGATTTGGTGTCTGTAATGTATGAAACGGAAAGATGTCATAAAACGGGTTGATTCTATTCAATGTAAAGACAAAATCTTTATTTTATTTATATAGATAAGTGATTTGAGATTTTTTTTAGATCTATTCTTATTTTTTTTTATTTATTTATTTTAAATGATATTTACAACTGTATACAAAAAAATACATCTAGTAAATTTGCACATTGGTATAACTTTTTTTTTTTTTTAGATCTAAAAACTTGTTTTTACGATCTATTCCTTCGGAGATTTAGATCTTTCGTTCTGGGTCATGGCCATTACTAGCTAAGATGGTTTTGTATCAGTGTTAATAGATGATAATAAGATGACGATCGACTGTTTTATATAGAGTGCGCTAAGAGCTTTGGAATGGTTGAACATAAAATATAATTGTGATGGGAGAGTGGTGGGGGGGGGGGCGCAGTGAATAAAGTTTTCCTAGAATATACAGCTCGTAAATTCGTGGCGGAGGCTGACAGTTCTCGGCAATTGGGATATACCTACCACACCACCTCCCCAACTACGACCATTCTCTTTCTTTTGCTGAGTTATCTATGACTCCTCTGCACAACACATTCATATTTAGAAGTTATTATTTCAAAAGCTCCCTTGCTCCCAATTCAATCTCTGAAGAATTGTTTAGTTCGCTACACGATGAATATTTTACAACCTCATCTCACAATGTCAACATTCAATTATTCATTATTTTATTTTACGGCATAACATAATTTCATTTTAGTTAATAATTAAAAAAAAAATAATGAAGAGAAGAATAGTTGGGGTGTTCAGTCAAAAAGGATGGCAAAAATAAATTATAATATTTATTTTTTACATATGCCGATGTTTCGACCTGAAGTTCAGGCCTTCATCAGGGCTAAGAAAATAACCAGATAACAAGGTATGAGAAACATAAGTAATGATGGTAAAAAAGATAATAAAAAATAAAAAAAAATTATTAGAAAAATAAATTTCTTCCTAATAATAAAATAAATAAAATAACTTTCTTTCCTCCTTCCTTTCATTCCTTTTCTCTGTTTTTAACTCTTTATTATATTATACATTGTCTGTACATCTTGATAGACTTTACAATATCTCAATTTTCTATCTAACTACTCCATTCTCAATGTTTTAATTTTACTATTTATTTTCATTTCTTATATAACTTTATATTTCTTTTTTATGTTTTACATTTTATTCTAAGATTCCCATTGTAACACTTTTGTCACCCCTTTTTGATTATGCCTACTTCCATTATATCATTCCACACTATGAAACAGTTTTTATTATTTATCTCTTAGTTCTTAGTCATTATTCTAACAATTTCATTTTACTTTATATTTATCTATTTTATTTTTCTAATATTTTTTTTTTATTTTATTTTTTTATTTTTTATTATCTTTTTTACCATCATCACTTATGTTTCTCATACCTTGTTATCTGGTTATTTTCTTAGCCCTGATGAAGGCCTGAACTTCAGGTCGAAACGTCGGCATATGTAAAAAATAAATATTATAATTTATTTTTGCCTTCCTTTTTGACTGAACACCCCAACTATTCTTCTCTTCATTATCCACGACAGTCAACCAATTACCAATTATTTAAAAAAAAATAGTTGAACCGTGATAATAATTCACACAGTATTAGTCAGCGAACTAATGGAAATAAGTAAATGATGCGTATTATTATAAATAAGAATTAATTTTTACTAGCTGACCCGTGCGAATACGTATAATACAAATTTCAATAGAATATATTTATGCTTATTACATATTTCGATTTGTGAACTATTCATAGGTATTTATCTGTGATTTCGAGACTGAATATCGTTTTATCATATTCAAGCAAATTTTTTAAAGTTATGAACCACTCCATTGGACACTAAAATAAATGGTAAATTAAAATCTATATATAACTAAAACTTTCTATTCCTAATAATACACAGTGTACTTACGAACATGTTCTCAAGGGACTTCTTGGCCAGCCAGCAGTTGAGGAAAACAGGAATGAACAGGTGTCGACAAGCCGGGAATGCAATCTGATAACAAATAACAGACATTGATAATATTCACAAGTATCACACAGTATACTGGTATAATTTAGTATATTATATATTATTTCTAAAATGTGTTTTTTTGTCGGTACGCCATAACTTTGTCAATTCTTCATCATAACCAATGATTGACCACTCATTTTGAAGATATTCTTCTCCTTCACATGCCAAAAATAGTCCTATCCCCCCGAAAAAGTTATGAAGGAAAAGAAACTTTATTTGCTAAAAACTCAAAAAGTATCCATTTTTTTCTTGATTGTACCCATGATAACTAGAAAGATTACTAAATTACCTACAAAATAAAATAAAAAATTGTAAAAATCGATTAGAAATATGTATAATTTAAACAATTTGTATTTACGGAAGGAGTGAAGTGCGTTGAAATATTTTTTTAAGAAGGAGATTTGATAAAGTTGAGATTCGTATTTCACAGCTCAAAAGACACTCGAATACGAATTTTCATCGCGATCAAAAAATAAATTTTTTTTCTACTTATTTGACCTTATTGGACCTTTGATATTTTTTCAAAAATCACAAAAAATGTTATAACTTCAATATTCTTCCACCTATTTACACGAAATTTTTCAGGGATATAGGGCGTTATAAACTACTCCATTGTACCCACGATGATTAAAAAGATTACTAAATTACCTACAAAACAAAAAAAAAACACGTAAAAATCCGACAATTATTAACAAAGATACAGTCCATTAGTTTTGGTTTACTTAATAAGGACTTCCTGTTCAAAGATATTGCATTTATTAGTAGAATAGTCTACTAATTTTTTTTCCTGGCTTTTATATTAACTTTATTATTTCTTAAAGACATTTGGTTGTTCTTAAATTTTTTTTTTAATAATTTAGAATATTCTTTGATCGGGGCATTATTTTGCCTTTATTAATTTTATTATCTTTCCAGTCATTTAAAAATAGGTTCCAGCAAAGCAGTTTGTATAAATATTTTGGTCTGTTATGTTTAATGGAATATTATAATCGACTAAGAAAAAAATATTAATTCCTTCCTTACATAATACATTGTTTTGCTATTTCGTCACTTAACAAAATTTTCTGCGATTTTTTTGCACGGCCCAACTAGTACACTTTATATTTATAATACCAAATAAAATATGAGTGGCTATATAAGGAAGTATCAATGGTCTAATCCTGAAAAATAAGTAATCAAAAAACATTTAATGGGAAACATTATCAAAAATTTCAGAAAACGTTAAATATTTTTATTAGTTATCGAATAAAATAAAGAGCGTCAGAAATTGTAAAATTTTCTGTTATTGTAAGAGTTTCTAAGACTCAAAAATAACAGCGTAATAAACTTACGATACTGATCCTATATTATCAAGTTGAAGAAAGTGTATAACTTTAAAGTGTACGGTTTTCTAGAAATCATTTTTGGGTAATTATTTGATGATGGCTGCTCGGGTAACGCTTGGTTCACAATCATTTAGGTCAAATTTTTCTATGGAGTGCCGAATACATCCGGATTTATCCGAAAGACTGTTTTTGGTGTTTCGTGAACAAGTGTGACCGAAGTGATTGTTAACTACGCGTAACCCGTGCGGTTCTCATCTAAATAATTATCCATTTTTCTGTTGTATATCTTTCATCCTAGGCGTGAGATATTCTCTATTTGAGCCCTATATGTTTAAAATGAACAATAATAGATTTTTATTGAAAGTATTGATTCACATGTAAAACCATCCAATGAATCAAAAGGTGCAATATTTTTTTCCTTAACGAATCTAAATATTAAAAAAGTAGTGTGAAAATAATTTTTTTTCTGAAACCGATCTTTTTTTAACAAATGTAATCAAACTTGCATTCATTAAGTTTTGTTTAAAAACATTTTTTTTTTAATAGAATTTTATAACGAATATTATTATAATTATATATATATTTTTTCCGAAAAGTTAATTTATTATAGTAAAATTTGTAGTAACTTTTTCTTCCTGAATCAAAAACTATTTTTTCTCTCCAAAACAAACTCTTATCAACTTTTTATTTGTTAAAAAAACGGATCTTGAAGTTTATTCCTTTCCGAAAGAGACTAGTTTATTACTATGCAAGTTTAAATATTTTTTAATTGATACTGGAATAATGAATATTTTTAAAAAAATATGTTCTTCAAATAAAGAATTTTTAATTTATTTAAAAAAAAAATTAAGTTTTGATATTACATTTAGAATAGGCAATTTGGTTTTTCGTGTTTCCTGAAAAATCGTTATAAATGATTATGGTTCACTTTGAAAACAAACGACTCATTTATTTTTCACAATTAATGTAGTCAAAAGTTCAGCTGATGTATTTTTAACAATACATTAAATAATGCCTCTCTTTTATATAAAAAAGTGTTTAGTGACTTTCATATTTTATTTTATTTTTAGTATTAGAAGAATAGGAGATTACATGAGCGATTAGCTACAATAATACAGCTATTAGCTCTATAATTATCACTAATTATACAGGTGTTCATTTAATTACATGTGTGTTGAACTCCTGTAACCTCATATTCTCCTAACACAAAATTGAGATTTACACCCTGGTTTATTCGTTACACTATTGGGCTTCTGTAATCTCCTACTCTCTTTATACAAATTAGAGGTGGTAATTTGTTTTACCTAGATGACAGCAGTTATTTTTCGATCTAGATATTTTCCACTTGAATACAATATATTAATTATTATATTATATATATCATATTGCGATATAATTATACTTATTATTAAAAAGAAAATAAAGCACAATATAGCTTATATGAACCTCGACAAGTTGAGTGTATCTTATCGTTACAAATTGCAATAAGAATAATTATGATTATATATAATATATAATTACAATAAACTAGCAATAAGGCGCGATGTATGATATAGATTTTTAAAGAAATGAGAAATGTTTCTCTGTGGTTTTGTTCAGTTTATTTTATATTGATAAAAAATAATGCAATGTAACCACAGAATACATGTAAATTAAAGTTACACAATTTGAGCAACCAATAATACAAATAAACAGTTGTATAATTTGAAAAATGGGTGAACAGAGGGTATCCCCTAGATATTATAAAATAAAGTTTTGAGTATTATAATTAATAAAAAGTTTAATGACGTGCCACAATGGCAAAGCTGTATAGGGCTGTCGAAAACCTAATGGTCTTTTTGTCTAAGGCACAGAGGTTGAATAAAAAATAAAGTTTAAATTATTACCGGGAATTCCGCTCACAAAATAAATTTGCTTTGTCCATAAAATAAAATTTCCTTGTCGCGCTTAATATAGCACACTCTATTTTTGGGAGCGATTTAATGAGAAAGCCCCCCGGGCCAATAAATTCAACTCGCTGGAACAAAACAAATATAATTAATTATTGAACCCTGGGGGGGGGAGGGGAGAGGAGTAGAAAATTACTTTGTTCGAAAATTGGGGCACAGGGCTGCGCTGACGAGCTGGTTTAGTAACCTTCGAACCGAACATGCTAAAACTGCCATTAGTTATCGTAATATTGTTTAGTAGTGAGACAATATTGTTAGTAGTTGAAGAAGGATCGGAAACTATTCGGTTCGATAAAGTTACAAGAGCGAAACATTGAAGAAGGTTTGTAGGGACCGTATCTGCATATAGAGGGCACTGCCTGTCTCGAGAGGAAGCTAGTGTGACAAGCTCTCTCTTGGGGCACAGTTTGTAACCAACTGCGACATCTTGGAGCAAATATACTCACTTCAATGATTAATAATAAAGTACAATAAAAAATGCCTTACTCCTGTTCTAGTCATATAATGTAAAATAAAAGTTTTAAATTTTAATGCTCAAGTAGTTTGCTTATTTTTTTTGTAAATTAGTGGGTCAGAAGAATAATAGGTAATTTCACGTAATATCAAAAAAACAAATAATAAATGTATTAATACTAGAGATGAATATATATATATATATATAATAATAATAAAAGGCTTAGCGAACCCGAAGGTTCACCACCAATCGCCTGTTATACACCTCCCTGCACCGTTCGCCGTCCAAACCCAGTCCTTTCAGATCGGCTTTAATGCAATCTTCCCACCTTCGCTTCGGTCTACCCCTCGGACGCTTACCATTCGGCACAGCAAATATTAACCTTTTAGGAATTCTCTCGTTACTAAGCCCAACAACTTTACAAGCCCATTTGATTCGCTGCGATGAAATTACCTCAATTATATTACCCGGATACAGCTCACGCAATTCGGCGTTGTGTAACCGTCTGAACTCTCCGGTTAACTCATCCTTCTTCGGTCCGAATATTCTACGCAATATTTTATTTTCAAAAACCTTAAGATGCTGTTCATCCCTTAGTGTAAGCGGCCAAGTTTCGCATCCATAAAGAACTGTAGGCAAGATAATTGTTTTATAGATTCTAATTTTTAAGTTCCGGGGCAAGAGGCGCGAACTAAGTAGTTTTGTCACAGAAAAATAACAAGCATTTCCCGCCTTCAGTCTAACCTTAATCTCTTCTTCAATTTCGTTTTTTCTAGTTATCGTAGAACCTAGATACCTAAACTTATCTACCTGTTCAAACATTTTACCATCTATATCGATATCACCAGTAATATTGCCATTTTTGCAGCTAACCATATATTTTGTTTTATCCACGTTTATTTCGAGTCCTAGTTCTTTACCGGCTTTCATTAACGTTGCCGTTTTTAGTTTTATAGTTTCAACGTCTTCGCTTAAAAGTACCAGATCATCAGCACAGCCCAACACGGATGTTGTCCCGCCCATATATATATATATATATATATATATATATATATATATATATATATATATATATATATATATATATATATATATATATATAATGTAAATAGTTTATTCTCATCGTAAGCAACCACAATTCAAGACCTAAAAATAAATCCTTCGAAAGAACGGGAAATTGAGTGTAAGTTAAAGAGAAAGTAGTGTTGTTAAAAGCAGCTTAAGTATGAAAAGTTCCAACCAATCTTATTAGCAGTTTTATGAAAATATTATAATAAAAACATGAAAATATAAACGCAGAATATAGATTTTTTTATTAATTAACTAACCCACATCCCACATATTTTTAGCTAACTTAACTCAAACTTAATAGTCCGTGGTACAGACCTATCATAAAAGTATCAAACATCTTATTAAAACTTCGTAAATAGCTTCATCTCATCGTAACCTACAAATATATTATTCACGAAAATTCTCGAAATTAGGGTTTTTACAATCTAGAGTTCGGCAAACTTTGTCTATTTAATTAGGAACTAAAAATTCGTAAATACCTATTTCCTTTCTACTTTAATCGTAAGATAACTTGGTGCCCTTAAAAAATATTGAGCCATTTGGCGTAACCAAAATATTACTTTTCTTTTTTATAATTGATTACAACGGGTCAATCAAAATAATGAACCAAATCATTTGTAGATATTACAATTGACTATAAATTAGTTAAAAATGGTCCGATTTTGATAATTTATTTTTGTTATTTTTCATGGGATTAATCAATTATAAATTGTATACTTTTTGAGTTATGTTCATATAAAATTTCATTGCCATCCTAACTTTTCCGGGAATGTGCTTATTTTTCTTCCCAAGGGAGAAGATAACCTCCAAAATGATGGGAATCAATCATTGGATTTGAATGAGAATTGTCGAAGATGCCATGTCGACCAAAAATGTATTTGAGAAATATATAAATTAATTATAGGTAATAAACATTGTTATACTCACAGTGGCGGCAAAGGGGATTGTGTTAACCAGCTCCAGAATAAAATGAAACGACAGAAGTTGCTGCCAAATATTTCCCTGAAACATAGAAATAATAATATTATTTGTACAATATCTACTGCATAATATGTTTATACAACGATATAATATATTTTTTTCTGACATATAAGCAACTTTTCCGTTGGTTTAAGTAGAATTTTATACCGTCTGTATTTTTTTTTAAACTTTTACTTTCCTATATCATTATAACGAAAGTAGATAAGTGAAATTTGTGTGATGCGCGCTCCGTACCAGATTTTTATATAAAGATAGGTAAACGGTTCTATATATTCCTTATTCATGATAATAAAGTTTTTAAACATAAACAATTTAATTTAAAAGAACACGCTTCTCTTGTGGGTATATAGATAAAGTGGTGTTCTATAGTGATAGCCATTATTCTGCATTAGAAGATTTTCAGAAGGGTTTTGTAAAAATATGATTTAGTTAATGTTTGAATTGCTGTATTATTTAAGATATAGTTCATGAAGCATGCTTGAAATTTTTCTTTGCTCAACCTCATACATTAATTTTGAACTCTTTGAAGTTCTTTGTAATTAGTTTTCCAAGTCGAGCTCCACGTGGATAATATATCAGAGTTTGGATAACTGTTTTATGAAGTATGAAACAAGTTTGTTAGAAGAGATAGTTTTTTAATCAAGGATTACCAAATATCGAAGTTTCTTAATCGATATGTTCTTATGAGTAGCAATAGAATTATATAAATTAGACCAGTAAATACTGCTCGGTAGCACTAATATTATTATTACAGCAAAATATGTTTGGAAGATTATTTCTTAAAGATGAAGCACATAATTTTTCTTAGCTAGAAACAGAAGCATTTCTACCGAAAAGCTGATCATAGCTACAAAAGATCTCTCATTTCAGTTTCCTTATCACAGAAATTGGAAGTGAGTCAAATAACTGGAAGGGAAATGGTTTCCAATTTGTTGCCATTGAAGGGTATTGAATCGGATAAAGATATTGGAAGAGTTTGTTTCAAATGGCAGTCCCATTTCTTGTCCCGTATTTTAACTATCATAAAATTAAATTTCGATTAGAAATGCGGGGGGGGGGAGAGAATTAGGCTGGTGCGTTCAGAGAAAGTTTACTAAAATGATTTAACGACTTAATATTGGATAAAGCAGTGAAGTAAATTGTGATCTGCAATATTGTGAAGATATTTTACTTTTGTGACTTGTCGACTAACCGTTGAATATAACAAATACAAATTGACTTATTCGATGTAAAAGGAAAGGATTGAGTGAAAGGAGAAAGAAGAAATATAAATGGTCAATTTCTTTCTTTTTTTGTAACCACAGGCCGAATTCTCATCCAATTACATGCTTAGTTTGCTCCCTTTTGTTGAATACCTGTTTCTATATTTATTCTCATTAGTGCATTCATTTATCTTGCATTACTTTTAGACTAATGCATATATTTAAAATAACTGTTTTCGTCTTATTAACACATATCCGTCCGGTAATTCATTGCTCATTTAATGAATGCCTTAATTAAAAGAACAAGAACCAATTATTTCCTATAATATACAAATGGCGAAGTATCAAGTGCTAAGCGTCCGAGGGACAGACTGAAGCAAATATTCCTTTATGGCTGATCTGGCGATGTGGGTTTTAATGGTGACCAATGGAGAGAGATATGTGGATGGCAATTGGTGGTGTCGGTTTCGAATCTTTGGTTTCACTAAGTTTTTTTATTATTATAAGGGAGCGGGGTAGCACAGTGAGCAAGCACTGACTTCCAAAGCTCAAGGTCCCTGGTTAAAATCGGGCTGAAAACTAATTAATTAATTAAGAAAACCTTTGAGCGAGATATAGGTCCAATCACCTCCTTACACAACCGTTGACTAAGAATCAGTAATAATAATAAAAGGCTTAGCGAACCCGAAGGTTCCATGCCGACACCACCAATCGCTTATTACACACCTCTCTCCACCGTTCGCCGTCCAAACCCAGTCCCTTCAGATCGGCTTTATTGCAATCTTCCCACTTTCGCTTCGGTCTACCCCTCGGACGTTTACCATTCGGTACAGCAAATATCAACCTTTTAGGAATTCTCTCGTTACTAAGCCCAACAACTTTACAAGCCCATTTGATTCGCCGCGATGAAATTACCTCAATTATATTACTCGGATACAGTTCACGCAATTCCGCGTTGTGTAACCGTCTGAACACTCCGGTTAACTCATCCTTCTTCGGTCCGAATATTCTACGCAATACTTTATTTTCAAAAACCTTAAGACGCTGCTCATCCCTTAGTGTAAGCGGCCAAGTTTCGCATCCATAAAGAACTGTAGGCAAGATAATTGTTTTATAGATTCTAATTTTTAAGTTCCGGGGCAAGAGGCGCGAACTAAGTAGTTTTGTCACAGAAAAATAACAAGCATTTCCCGCCTTCAGTCTAACCTTAATCTCTTCTTCAATTTCGTTTTTTCTAGTTATCGTAGAACCTAGATACCTAAACTTATCTACCTGTTCAAACATATTACCATCTATATCGATATCACCAGTAGTATTGCCATTTTTGCAGCTAACCATATATTTTGTTTTATCCACGTTTATTTCGAGTCCTAGTTCTTTACCGGCTTTCATTAACGTTGTCGTATTTAGTTTTATAGTTTCAAGGTCTTCGCTTAACATTACCAGATCATCCGCATAGCCCAGCACGGATGTTGTCCCGCCCAGATCCAACCCTTTCTCGGTACGCATTACCTCCCTAATGGCATGTTCTAATGATAATTGAACAGGACAGGCGAAAGGGAATCCCCCTGTTTTAAACCCGAACGAACCTCAAATTTTTCGGACAGATTATTACCGATTCTAACTTTAAACAGTAATAATAATAATAATAATAAAAGGCTTAGCGAACCCGAAGGTTCCATGCCGACACCACCAATCGCTTATTACACACCTCCCTCGACCGTTCGCCGTCCAAACCCAGTCCCTTCAGATCGGCTTTAATGCAATCTTCCCACTTTCGCTTCGGTCTACCCCTCGGATCATTCGGTACAGCAAATATCAACCTTTTAGGAATTCTCTCGTTACTAAGCCCAACAATTTTACAAGCCTATTTGATTCGCCGCGATGAAATTACCTCTATTATATTACCCGGATACAGTTCAAGAACTGTAGGTAAGATAATGGTTTTATAGATTCTAATTTTTAAGTTGCGAGACAAGAGGCGCGAGCTAAGTACTTTTGTCACAGAAAAATAATAAGCATTTTCCGCCTTCAGTCTAACCTTAATCTCTTCTTCAATCTCGTTTTTTCTAGTTATCGTAGAACCTAGATACCTAAATTTCTCTACCCGTTTAAACATATTACCATCTATATCGATATCACCAGTAATATCGCCATTTTTGCAGCTAACCATATTTTTTTTATTCGCGTTGATTTCGAGTCCTAGTTCTTTACCGGGTTTCATTAATATTATTGTTTTATAGTTTCCACGTCTTCGCTTAACAGTACCAGATCATCAGCATAGCCCAGCACGGATGTTGTCACACCCAGATCCAGCCCTTTTTCGATACGCATTACCTCCCTGATGGCATGTTCTAATGCCTATTGAACAGGACAGGTGAAAGGGCAGACGACAGGCGAAAGAAACAGTACTTTCCCTAAATAGTAATGAACCCAAGACCCTTCATGAGTCGTAGCGGTATAGCTTTTTTTTTTTTTTATATCAGAAACTAAAGCCAGTTTAAATTCAAGGCATCATATACCAAAGCTGAAATTTACGACCATCTTCATGCCATTAAGATTAATGAATCCGTAAGGCGCTTAAGGTATACCATGTCGCACGACTGCTGTTTCAGGACTTACTTAAACGATCGTCTTTTTTTTTTGTAATTCCTATTTTTATACAAATTTTAATTTAATAATCATAAGAATGTCTGAATAGCGTTATTTGAATAGTTTTAGAAATTTGCCTAAATTGGCCTGTTTTAAACGGAATATATAAAAGGAAATAAAAAGTGTAAAAAATAAAACAACTAAATACGTATACGAATTTTTAAACAAAATATTACCTAAAAAGTACGATTTTTTTAAATAACGAGACTGATACTGTAAAAGTTTTATTTATGTTGCTCTGTGTTATAGAACTAAAAATATATTGATGACCAATGATGACCTATTGCTGATGACTCACCTTGTAGCCCAGGTAGGCGAGGAGCAGCGCCTCGGTGAGGCTGATGGCGGCCAGGATGACCTGGACGACCCAGAGGGCCATCGGCCTCTTCACCCACAGGATGGCGTCCCAGTTGATGATCGGGTGCTCCTGGAACTCCTCTTCCGTCAGGTCCCGCGAGGCCCAGAACTCGGTCTTGTTCTGCTTCTCGCACCCATAACTGCAAACATCAAGGACAACATGTCAAATCAAATAAGAAAATATCTATTCATTCAACGTTTGAACCTAAGCCATAGGTCTTCATCAGTGCTAAAAAAAACACGATATAAGAAAGAGACACACGGTACAAAAAAAACAAGAAAAAAAGTACAATTTGATGTTAAAATTATTTATTTTCTACCCTTAACTCAAATTCTCATTAAAATTAGAACCATTTTTGAGAAACTAGAATATAAAGCGGCACCGATTAGCCGATTTTGGCGAAAAACGTTACTATAACATCCCAGGCATATGTAAATCTTAAATACACAATTCCAGTTTCGTGCGATTTTCCGTAGACTTTTCACATACTCACTCACACACCATTTTGTGAGAATTGGTAATTTGGACTCGGGGGTACTCAAAAAGTGTATTTCGGTTGAAAACTCGGATATGAAAATTTTCACGAACGCAATACTTTCCTTTACAATATATTTCATATACAGGGTGTTTCATGGTTGTGTCTAAATTAAAAATATGAATTAAGGACCTCAAAACAAGAAAAACATTTCCTTTAAAGTTATTTTCATTGTTATGAATTATTTACGTTATACTACGTAAAACCTACTTATTTGTTCAAAAAATACTTTAATAATTAAATATAAACATAAACATTCATATTAAATGTGTGAATATCTCCTAAACTAAGGGTTTACGGACACACCTTCAGAGGAATTTTTTTTCTTGTTATGAGGTCCTTAATTCATATTTCCAGTTTGGTCACTTAACTCTGAACACCCCGTATAGGTAAAAAATTATCTTTTAAAATGACTATTTAACTAACAAGTATTTATTTATTTGAGTGTTTCGACCACTGGGGTCATTTTAAGAAATATTTAAACCATTTATAATATAACGCACCGCTAAAACTGTCTCTACATTTTCAAAATTTCGCGTACTCTAAGAAAATTAAATATCACTTAATACTTTTAACGAGCTTACGATATATTTAATGGTTTTGAAAATCTGACATTGGGTAGCTTAGACTTGTAGCTTTGAGTGGGTATTGGTAGTTTTATTCCAGAGAAGAACTTAAAATAGTATTATGTACACTTTGCCGGCATTTGGGATCACTAGACTCGAGAATGTTAAAGTGGGCAGGGCATTCAGTACGCTCGAGGGGAGCGTTTCTACTACTTTTAAAAAAAGCAAATGAACTGTTCGTTGACCAAAAAGAACGATTCTTAAGAACTGTACCTATATATAAAGTATTATGATTATTATAATTGGTAATTGGTTGACTGTCGTGGATAATGAAGAGAAGAATAGTTGGGGTGCTCAGTCAAAAAAGGAAGGCAAAAAATAAATTATAATATTTATTTTTTACATATGCCGACGTTTCGACCTGAAGTTCAGGCCATCATCAGGGCTTTCTCCTAAAGTGTCAAGGTGAGAATGATGATGTCAAGGTGAGAATGATGATGTCAAGGTGAGAATGATGATGTCAAGGTGATCATTCTCACCTTGACACTTTAGGAGAAAGCCCTGATGATGGCCTGAACTTCAGGTCGAAACGTCGGCATATGTAAAAAATAAATATTATAATTTATTTTTTGCCTTCCTTTTTTGACTGAGCACCCCAACTATTCTTCTCTTTATTATGATTGTTATTATAATAACAAGTCTGTAAATGATTGCATAGTTTTATGTATAAAGTTTGGCATTGTTCGAACTTAAAATTGATAATCTTTGAATTTATTTGTAGTATTGCATGAATGTTAATCTTAAAAATTTCTTTTTAACTAATTAAAACTAAAAATTATATTTTACACCTATACAATTTTTTATTTGTATAATATTTTGACTTTCTCGAATGTTCAAAGTTTGAAATTATGCTGTTGGTTCATCATGATTCTTTTAACTGTAGTTATGAATTTTTTCAATTTTTATAGAACATAATAGTGTTTAATTTTATTTAAGTAATTAAATTGATTTATGTGAATACGTTCAATCATAAAAATTATTTTCGGTCTGCAAGAAACTAATATTGATAGATACATCTAAAAACCAATTTTGCCTACAAATACGCTCAAGTTAAGTTAGCAATGTAGTAACTATAATGAAAGTTTTTATTTATTTGTTGCCTTCATTAATAATAGGATCTTAAAATTACACCCTTTAAATTAACAATTGAAACATTTCTTATAAAAAAAAACTATTGGGTTATTTTCATGATGAACTGATAGGTTAGTTGAGAAGCAGAAAGAGCTTTTGTTTCGTTTGGAAAAGCTCGACTAGTGGCAAACGGGTGAACTAAAAAAAAAACAACTGTTATCCGTTTGAAAGAACAGTTCATTCGTTTGAGATCAAGAACTGTTCTTTTCAAACGTTTGGCGTTTTCTCTCTCACCCCTAATCATGGCATGTTAACTTTGGATCACTACCGATACTTTAAGCCTTTTGTGTCGCGAGTGAGAAATAGCTCTCTTCAATTCAGAAGAGGAATTGTTCTTGGAAAGCAGCCAGGAAATAAAAACGATGATTACAGTCCTAAGTGACAAGAAATAATTAAAGCAGACAATATGCCGTTGCATACAAAAACATATGTCATTGCATCTAATATTTTGTGTGATATGCAACCACTGTCATCCCCTTTTAGGATTTATGGTAAAGAAGTTAGTTATCATTTAAGAAAATAACAAAGTACGCTCCTATACATTTTTGTCGTTATGCTGAATTATAGTCATTATTATTATTATTTTTTTACTTCTACATAGAAATTATTTTGTTCTCTTTAAAATCTCTTCTCTTTAAGTGTCTATTCCATCACCAATCCGATTAATCACCAAATGTAGTTAAGAGAACTCGTGAAGTACACACATAAACTATTTTATTTATTTTTTCTTTCTGTTCGTTTAACGTTTTTTATTTATTTATTTATTTATATGATATTTACAACTGTATAAAATAAATACATCTGGTAAATTCGCACATGGATATAATGACATGGAACACATATTGAGAAACTACCCATTGGTAGCACTCTAATAATATGTCTATATTAGAAGATCACGTGGACATCTTCTTTTCAGACGCCTCGGATGGTTATCAGGAATAGAATAGGAAGCAAGGTCAGAGACAAGAGGGTTGGGATGGTTATGAAGTTTATTATGGAAGGACAGATATCTGGATTGGACCAAATCTGATACATAAGGAACATTAAGGTCATTATGGATAATTTTATTTGTAACAAAGTAAGGAGAATTGAGGATTTTACGAAGGATTTTGGATTGTAAGGATTGTATGCGAGAGGAATTTGAAGGTTTGTTGGAGCCCCATAGCTCACGTTTAATGTTAATTTTTTTCTTAATAAATTATTTTTAATTTTTATTTTATTCAAATGTAAGAGGTTGGAAATAGGTGTGCCCCATATTAAGTCAAATTAATGGGCGAACAAGTTTATGTATGATAGAAAGATTTTTAAGGCGGAGGCAACATGTAGTATGTTGGCGCATACTATATACAGTCTTTCCATAGAAGGAACATCATACAAATAGCACGTATAGAAGATGAATCGTACAAAGCAATTTATCAAACGTTTTAGTTTCGCCTCGAGATAGTCGAAGTGGAGAAATATTAAGGAAGTAACCAGGAGTCTACGAATTTCAAAAGGAAAAAGGTGTCGGACGATATTTAAATGTTTTAAGGTTGAAAAATTACTTCGGGGGTAATTCGGTGAAAGAACATTTTCGGTTCAGGAACTTTGGTTTGTTTGTAGAGGAGCATTTCCTTTGTAGAGGAGTTTTTTTGCAAGAGGACGGCAAGGAGTATGGCAGAATCTATTATTTCATAGTTATTAGGAATCCTGCATATTAATTATACAATATATTAATTCTGGCAACTCCGTTATGAACTTTACGGACAGCTGTGAGAAGGAAAAAAATGTTGAGAAAATTATAATAATGAATAAATAAATTATAACATTGGACACTTTGGATGATAGTCCCGTAGAACTCTATTATTATTGTTCTATTACACTGTTAAATAACACTATTATTTTTGTTCTCTCTTATTAAACATTGTCGAATGGGACTGATCAGTATCCTGGGTCACTTAACAACTAAACATAGCAGAGCAGCTATACAGTGTTATTGTATTCTCTCTATCTCTAATAAGTTATATAACAACCTATTAATTTTCAAAACTTTGATTCAATGAAAAGCCACATTGTCAATTTATCCTAAAGTCACATTAGTCATTGGGTAGTAAAATTATTTTTCATTAAAAAAAATCATTGTTATCGTAAAAATTTAGAGTTTTCAATAAGTTACGGAATGGACCTAATCCGAAATAAATAATAATAATAATACTAATTTAACTTTTATTTTAATAATTGAGTTTCTTAAATATGCCAATTGATGAATCATGTATTGGATTGACAATTCTCACTATTCAAAGATAAAAGGACAATACTATCCCTAGATAGCCAGGACAAGCTATCTCTGATAACTTAAAAGTAGTTATCTAAAAGGCACTGACTCGACATAGCAAGAGTCATTATCAAGACTTAGAGAACAATAACAGATTTCAGCAAAAGGTCCTTTCTCACGGATCCTTAGACTCCAGAATCCAGAATCCGTTCACTCCCCTACTATTCCTGGGTATATTACCCCATGGTTCTCAGAACAAATTATTCTTGCATTTACGTTCTTGAAGACACACTCTTGCTAGAAGACCTGGAGTGAACTCTTGTAGTCAACCCATATATTCATAGTATTACTCTGTATGTTAAGATGCCATTTGTAACAAGACATTATGAATAAAAGTATTGCTTATAAAGTCCTCACTATGTCCGATACGTTAACCAATAGAAATAATAATTTCGAGGTCTCCTGATTTTAAACAACTGTCTCACAAAGGGTACATGTGTGACTATGTGAATTTTACTCAAAAAGTAAAATATGTTCAAAATTAAAATAACTTATTTAAGGTAGTTATATCAAGTTTCCTCCTAACCTCGACTTATCTGAATAATAATAATATTTATTTATTTGTTTTCGGGGAGTTCTCCATACAAATAGAATTGGCTATAATGATAAAAATGAACAAATTAATATAAAAAACATTTACAACTTATATACAAAGCAA